GCACTGCAGGCCAGGTTGAACCTGGCCATCGCCATAATGTACCTGTCTACTGCTTTGGTCAATTCAGGGACCCGGTTCTCCGAGGGGGCCCCTTCTGCCCCTTGTTCCAGGGCCCAAACAATCGCCCGGGTCGGAACCACCGCTTTGCGCTGTGGCTTGACCTGGGTGTCCACCAGCGTCTCTTGGATGGCTTTCCGCTTCGCCAGGAGCTGTTTGTGTTCGTCAACGTTGAGCATGCCGAGTTTAATGGAGAGCCACTTTAAAGTGCCCCACCACTTCTGGAGCTTCGCCGGGGTGACCTCCAGCGTGACCGCCTGGTTCATGAGGTGCCGGACGTCACCGGCCGTCCAGGGGAGGTTCTGGAAGCCGATCTTGCGCATGCCCTCATAGGCCAAGCAATGTGCTCGGATGGTCCGGAACCGGGCATCTCCAAATAGGTGGCCGAACTCCTCCAGCTCCCTGGCCCCCATCACCTGGTGCATGTAGGGGATCTGGTGGCGGAAAGGAATGAAGTAGCCCAGGAGGCGTTCCAGCCACCTGGCCCTCAAGTGCTGTTCCAACGCTCGTTGGGATGTCGGCAATTGGGTTTTGATCTTCCCTGGTTTCCAATGCCGCCACTTGTTGGCCACTGCCAGGACATCCGGGGCCTCAATCGATCCGGAGAGGATCCACTCCTCGCGGTCCCGGATGGCCTGCTCCATTTCCAGTGGAGAATAGGTGTGCGATTGTCTGGCGCCTGCCGCACGAAACAGAAGTTGTTGCAGGGTCTTAGTAGCGAGCTCCAAATCCGCCTCCTCCAGCGGTTGTGGTTGGGAGCCGAGTATCCTTGCGAGGATCAAGTTGTAGGTGTCCGAGGCCACCAGGACATGGTTGCCGTCAGGTGCCAGCCCCACGATTCGTGTCCACGGTCGCGGGTCAAAGACCACCGCATCCGGGTTGGCAACCTGGTCCTTTTTGACCCATTCCAGGCAGCACGCCACGAGGATTTCCCCGTCCGACTGCACTGGTGCAAATCCAAGGTCATGCAAAATCAACTGGAACGCGGTTGGTACCCCAAGGAAGGTCGTTCCAAACGGGGAAGGGAGGCGGGGCCTCCACATCATCGTGATCCACTCGAGCCAGGAGCCTAATTCCTAGGCGCAAACCCCAACCAAACAACAGGGGAGCCCCCAAAACCCCGGAAAGCCCATCCCGAAACGGGGGAAAAGGGGGGGGGGGGGACCCAGGGAGCCGCCCCGGAAAGGGAAGAACCAAACAAGGGAGGGGAGCCAAGGCGCACCCCGGACCAGCCCAAGCGCGCCAATTTTTCTCGCCTGGTACAGGTCTAGGCCTGTGCTGTGCCCAGGGGGGGATATCAGCGCCCTCGGCAGCTGTCCCCCCCGGGGTGCGCTGCGAATCCGTTCCGGATGGCCGCAGTGCTGTATGATCATACGGCCCCCTTTGCAATGTCGTCAATGCGCTTGAGCGCCGCCGCCTCCGGATTCCGGAGAATCAGCTCCCAGATGGCGTTTGAAACATGGCCGGTCTGGGTGATGTGGCTGAACCTAAACCGGGGGACTTTCTGGTCCACCACGGAGACATCCCGCAGCGGGGCAGAGGGCTCTACCCGGCGGTAGAACTCCAACCGCTCCTTGACCCAGCGGTTGTACAGGCCATCCGGCGGCTCGTCCAGCACCAGCTGAAGGATGGCCTTGCCGGCCCGGATCTGGAGGAGGCGGGTGCCCCCTCCCCCGGCGCGCCAGTACCCCTTGCAGTACTTGCACATGTAGCCCCCCCGGGTCTCCCCTTTTGTCTTCGGGATGAGTTCCCACGGGGTGACGGAGCTCAGGACCAGGCCACACTCCATGTGCGCCCAGAAGACATGCTTCGTCTCCGCCGGATAGTTCTTCTTCCGGTAGTCCTTGCCCACCACGCCGTGGACGTTGTCCGATGTGATGGGGGGGTAAACGATCCCCTCATCGCCCTCTCCTCCCCTGGGGCGGATGTCAGGGCCATCGGCACCTGTCCGGCACCCAGGGGCGGAGGGGTCAAGGCCCATCAGCTTGATCATGTCGTTGGTGTAGCCGAGCTTGCGGTAGATGGAGGGGGCTACTGAGTCGGGGACTGCGCCGACCCACCACTGCTTCGTGTTGCAGCGCCAGTTGACCTTCACCTCCGCCAGGGCCCCCGGGCCTCCAATGCGGTCCATGAGGGCCTTGTACACCTCTGGGAACTGCTGGAGACTCTCCACCGGGACAGATATGCGCTCATCACATACCGCCCGGAGGATCATCTGTTCCTTGGAGTCCGCCACGTCCTGGACCGGGAGCTGCATCACCTCCGCCGGGGTGTCCGTGAGGAAGGCCCGGGCCGCGAGGACCTTGCCCATGGCCCGGTAGACCAATCGCCACTCCGGTCCTGTCTGCGGAAACGGAAGGCCCTCCTCCTTCAGGAAGCACCGCGCGTCTTCCTTCAGAGTCTCCCAGCCCTCCAGGCGGATCTGATTCTGGGCCTTGTTCTTCGGGCCCCGCTGCCTAGGGCCCTGAAGCAGTGGCAGGGACTCCCAGACTCCCCACAAGGAAGTCCTCATCCGGATCGTGGGGGGCCGCCCAGAAGATGGAACGCAGGTCCTCGGGGTAGGGTCGGTCCCCCGCCTTAGCCTGCTGGTTCAACTCATCAACGGAGTACCTGGCCCATGGGAGTCCACCCACCTGGTGGTTCCTGGGATGCGTACCCTTCTCCAGCGCCTCCGGATTCACCTTGGTGAGGTTGTTGGCCCAGTCCGGGACGTGTACGGGGCCCGGTCGTCGGACCCAGCGGCCCGCAAAGATACGGACCTCTCCGACCCGTTTGCTCATCATCCAGCGCAGGACCGCGAGCTGCACCTCCGGGTCCTGGGTATCCAGGCCCCCTGGGGTGGCAGACGGCTTGTCAGGGCCCTCGGCACCTGAGCTCGTCGCGCCAGAGCCCGAGGCTGGGGGGATGGTGGGCTGCCTGTCAGGGCCCTCGGCACCTGGGCGCGCCGCACCAGAGCCCCCCGCCTTTGGAATGGGGATCCCCGCCAGATCCGGCAGATCTGCCAGGAGGGCCGCCGGAAAGGGGTTCCTACCCAGCGAGATGACCGCCTTGGCTTCGAGGTAAGAGTCCGTGAGGGACGTGAGGTCGTCCATGCTGAAATCCCTCCATGCCGTGGTCGGCTCAAAGACCCCCGTCTCAATGGCAACTCGGACCTCGTTAGGCCACGCACTGAATGGAGGCTTGATGGGCTCGAGCATTCTGGTCTCGTGGGCGCCCTTCGCTTGTCTGGCCTGGTGCTTTGCCTTCGCCTCCTCCGCAGTGGTCTGGGCCTGGAGGAGCTCCGGTGTGGGCCTCCCCCAGTCCGCGCCCAGCTTATCCAGCAGTTTTTCGCGGAAAAGGTCCAAGTCCAAATTCTTGAGGAGTAGGCCCCCATCGCCTCCTCCATCAATGGCCCCTCCTTGAAGCTCGTGGAGGACCGCCGCGGATCGCTCCACCGCTGCCACCTGGTCTGCCTTCTTGGCCTCCTCCTGGGCAATGGTGGTGGCGTTGAGCCGGGTCTGGATTTTGAAAGCCTTCACCGCCGACGGGTGGAAGGCCCTGCATTCCTGGCCCTCTTCCTTGTCGCCCGGCAATGGAGGCCTCTCCCCCATTGGGGCCGTCAGGAAATCCTCGTCCAGCTCCATGGGGCAGTTCCTGATCACCGCCCGGACCGAGGAGGGGACAAAGTCCGAGAAGCTGGCCTGGTCCGGGTTCTCGCATGCCATCGGGTCGGTGGCCAGCTCGCTGACATCCACCGAGGCGCTGAGCTTGAGGTCGCGGGCCCGGTCCGTATCAGGGCCATCGGCACCTGCGGACCGGGCCGCCGTCCAGACCGCATTGCCCTGGTCATCCACCGTCAACTGCCAGTGCGTGCCCGCCATTTCCAGGGTGGCCGAGTTGGTCGCCATGTCAATGGGCTCCGTCTTCTTGCCGCACCCCATACACTTCCTGGCGCCCTTCTTCACCCAGGGCATGGTGCAGCAGGGGCAGATCCAGGATGTGGGCTCCTTACCCAGGGGGCGGTTCTCCAGGCCCCCATACCCCAGGCCAGCGCGCTTGCCGACCTGCTGTCCCGGGGTGCTGAGCCGGGCCTCATGCTCATACTTCATCTTGGCGATGTAGAACGCCTCCACCACACGCTCCAGGCCCCCCTGCTTGAGTTGGGGGCCCTCAAAGCCTCTCAGGAGCCGCTGGACGTCCTTGGCCTGCAGTCGGCGGAGCCTAGTGGCCGTGGTCGCATCAAAACACGGGAAGTCGCCCGCCATCTGGTCCTCGCTGAATTGGTAAAGGCCCTCAGAGACTTTGAGGGCCTTGGTGAAGACGCTTCCCCCCGGCGGGGGGGCTGCGGGGTCCTCATCCTCCTCCGAGGACGCCTGCTCCCTGACCTTCGCCATCAGATCACGGCGTCTCTGCCACTTGGTGTCGGACATCGGGAGCTCCTCCTCGTCTTCCGCCAGGAGTTCCTCCATGGGAACATCCTTCTCCGGCGGGTTTAGGAGCTCCAGGAACGCCCCTGATGGCGTGTCAGGGCCTTCGGCACCTGCGCCACCCCAGGGGCTGAGTCTGCCATCAGCTCGTCCTCTGCCTTGCGCTTGGCTGGGATGAGTGGGGCCTGCTCCAGCTCATCGGCGCTGGAGAAGAACCGCTCGTCAGGTGCCTGAGGGACCTCAGCAGCCAAGACGGTCCATCCTTCTTCCTCCTTCTTCACGAGGCTTGCCAGGTACTTCGCCATGGAGGCCTTTGCCTTCGCCTTGGCCTCTGCAACCGCGGCACCAGCGTAGGCGGGGGCGTACATGGCTTTGATAGGAGGGGAAAGAAAGATTTCAGATTACAAGACAGAAGGTCAGAGTCCACTTGAGCCAAAATGGTGGCCCAAGTGGACACTTATGAAGAGTCAAGACAAGCGACCACCTGCGGTTAACGCTTTAGCCCATCCGAATCGCCGCCAAGTTCGTCCAGGCGGCAATGCAGCAATGAACGCACGGCGCTCCGAATTCGGGCGAGGCGCTGAGCCGCTGCGGTTTGGGAAACCGAGCGCGAAACCGGCAGGTCCGGTGCGGGTGGCGTGTGTCCGTGTGTCTTGTGAGGCTACCCCGTTTTGGGGTTGGGTTCAAAGGGGGAAATGGAAACCCACCCCGTTCCCCGAGTTTGAGACGCCTCCAATCCCAGACCTTCCCCCCAAAAAACGAAGCTAATAGATGGGTTTCTTCCCTGGTAAATGGTTTCTAAAACCATTTTTCCAGTGGAGCCCATCTAATTTTAACCAAACTAAGCAAACAAGAACCCCAGTTACCACTATGATAGGTTACCAGCCATTGTCCTTTTGGTTTGTAGGGCAGTTCTGTTGGTTTACATCGGTAAACGGAATCACTGGGGTTGTTCCCTCCCAGAGAAAAGTACTAAGGGCCACATGAGAAGGATCCAGTTCGGAGTTCCCAATCTCAAAAAACCCGAAGCCGGGCCGGCTGGCTCCTTGCTTGCCTTGAGCTTCCACCCTGACGCAGGTGCCTTTGGCCGATTTTCCCTTTTCAACCAAGAGCTTTTGAAGAAGCGCCCTGTTTGTGAAGGGTGCTGGGAGACCAAGGTTAAGGACAATATTTTTGAGGTTCCTTTGACTATAGCGGAGTCCTCCGGAACCAATCAAAGCTAAGATTTGGGAATCAAGCAGGGCTTTTGGGAATGGACCTATTCCCCCCCGAACTACAATCCCCCCCCAACTACAAAAACAAGAGACGCCCAAGCTCGGCTCTGACAGTCTAACAGTCTGAGCACGGCCCAGGCAATCCCTAGGTCCTCCGGTAGAGAGCATAGAATAAGGGTACCAACTTTTTCTGTAGTCTATTTTAGTAGGGAAACCCTCCCACCCAAAAAAGGGGTTAAAAGGGGCACCTGGAAGGGGGACCTAGATCCCCTAGGCAGCCACTGGATTTCCCCTCCCTCCCATCCGCCGTCTGAGCTCAAGCGCCGGCGCCCCACTTCTCACCACCGGCCGGCTTGAGCCGATCTGAGCCACCAGTCCACTCCCCGAGTCAGGCCACTCGCCGAGCCAACCAAAGGCTGTGACACGTACAATGCTCCCTGCCGTGCGTGTAAATGGCTCTGTAGAAAGTTCTATACATCTACACATGCATATGCATGCATTTGTACATGTTTGTATACATGTATATATATATATATATATGTGTTCTACTAGTGTATATATATATACACACATATATATATATATATATGTATTGTATGTGTGCTTATGCAAATACGTGGATACAATTGATGATCAGGATGATGCAAGCAAAAGCCGGTGTGAATACCTGTGTATATATATATATATATATATATATGCACAATCTGCCTCATGCCTTGCTTGGCTGCAGGTCTCTCATTTCAGGTGTGGGAATCATCCCTTGCGCAAAAACTGAAAAACAAGTCTAGGATTGAGGATCCCGTTTTGTCATTCAGACATCTCTAGCGGACCAAATGGGCTAGGGCAGCCTTTTCATTGCTCGATTTTGAAGGGAAGCCCCCTGAAGAAAGGGACAACAAAGGGCCAAATGTCTTCCTACGCCAGCAACTTTTTGAGGGAACCAACAGGATTTTGTTTGAAGGATACATTCTTTCGGTGAGGAGGGGTTCTTGAAACGTTTACCAGCTTTGGAGGACCTTCTGAAACATGAAATCTGTTCAATCCTTGGCATGGCAAGAAAGAAAGCCACACAACATGAACAGGACTCAACAAACCAACATCCGTGCCTTGAAGGTTCAAGGGATGTCGAGCAAAGTCGAATTTGAACGAAGTCCGCAGGGGGGGCGCACAGGTGCTCTGAACTCCGCAGCACCAGCACGTGGTAGAAGGCCACGGTGCCCTTCCCTGCGAGGATCCATTAGATCCGCAACCCACTTTTGACCCCCCTAAATCTAAAGCCATCCTCAGAAGGTACCCAGGTACCCTCTGGGAAAAAAACAACCGCTATTTTGTTTTTCCGCTGGCTTCCCTCTACTTGGTGGCTTGGATTGGTTGCTTTAAGGGGCAACATGAACACCAGCCATTTATTGGGTCCCCTAAAGAAAGACACACAAGTTTACCAGCTGTTTCCAGTTTGCCTCCACTTGGTGGTTCGGAGTACCTGAAAAAGACACACCCCTTGACCAGTTGTTGGTGACCAAGGGAGCCAGCCGCAGAATAAACAAAGACGTAATCTACGGGTAACTGCAGTTCCGCTTAGACCCTCGGCAACTTGGTGCTCAAACTCAAACTGAGATGTGTCAAACATCTGGCTGTGGGTCATAACCTATGCCTCCATTTTGGGGCGCATGAACATTCATGTGCCACCTATTTTGATGTTCACCAGGGGTGCAGGGTTTTGACCCACAGCCATCTTTGTCTGTTTGTGAAGGAAAACAGATCCTCCTAAAAAAGGACACACCCATCTCGAAATCTGAACGAAGGTCTACAGAACCGTACTGGGAACCCCCGAGTTGGGTGGGGGGCGACCCCCGAGTTTTGGGGCTGAAGTTGTCTACCATTACATGGGTTTTACCGGATATATTTCTTGGATTTGTGTCATAACTGGGGTTCTTGGAAACTGGGGGCTTAACGGGGACTGGTTTGGGAGTTGCCAACTGCTTAGCGAACTCCCGGGCCATCTAAGAAGGACTCAACCCCCTGCTACCCTTTACCCCCCCCCATGATCCCATGTTTCGCCAAAATAAGCAAAATAAGACCCACGCACGCTTTGCCGGGGGGCGGGGGGAATAAATCGACATATGTTCCAGGTGAGCAAGGCCCTGCGATACTGTGGATGGTTGCGAAATCCATTTCGCGCCATGAAATGAAACCATGGAAACCGTTGTTGGTGGGTATTTACAGGGGACTCACAGGGTCTCTGAACGGTGGTGCAGGATTTTGTCCATCCACAGTATGAGTGTCAATTCTCAGATCCCCCATCAAACTGTGTAGCTGAACGATTCCGAAACGCGCAGCTGGTCACTATCCAGGCTTTCGTGCAAACAGAGGCCAAGCAATACCCGCAAAGCAGGCTTGAAATGGACCGCCGGAGGCAACAGCCTATCTGTGTTGCAGTCGCTGCCCGATATGGGAGTCTGAATCGCTTGGGCATGACAAGGAAGATGATTCTCCAACGGGTCCGCGGACTGAGGGTTGAGCGCGCTCCTCTTCTGAGGGCCGCAATTGCCATGTTGGAACTCCTCGTTCGTGAAGAACCGTCGGAGCTGAGGCCCGTCGCCATTCGCCAGCGGCAAACTGGGATCTTGAAAGGCGTGAGCAAACTTGCGGACAACTCTTGCCCGGAACAGGCTGAGTCGACGAAGCACCTGCTAGCAGTTGGGGGATCCTGGAAATAGATCAAACAAGTTGGCAACGAGGCGTGAGGCAAAATCCCAATAAGTCGCTGCAACCGCCCAGAACCTCACCTGGAACTTTGCAGGGCCGCCCCCAACCCAAAGCTGCCTAAGACCTTATCACTGCCAAACCCTGTCCCTCACTGACCATCAAGCTCATGCCAACCAGCAGAGGCACATAAGGAACCCCCTCTGAAGTGAAGATATAGTGACGGGGATGGTCCCACTGCATTGCATTTGTTGGCACTGTATCACAGAAGCACGCTAGAGACATGAAGGCACCCCTGTTTCCCTGTGAAACAATTACGATTGTTGCTCCGAGCATAGTGCTGACACAAGCAATTAGTTAGGATTCCTGTAGTTCCCATATACACCACTTCCATCGTTTAAAGAGAATCCATCACTACCCCAGAGGGTCGTCCAAGTGGTCCAAAGTCGTACAGTACGTGCTTAGCAGGTACCAGGAGCCCTTACCTAGGTCCTCCAGAGGAGAGGTTAGAATAAGGGTACTGTTTCTTTTTCAAGTCTATTTTAGGGGAACCCTCCCAAACAAATCAGGGGTGAGAAAGGGCACCTAGTTGGGGGCCCTAGGGAAAGAGTTGCACCTTTTTTCCTCAGACGACTGCAGCCTATGGGAGGTGGAGGGACATCCAAAATTCGATCGAGTCTTGGGAGCAACTGAAAAGACTTCCCGGAGCTTCTCCTGGAACGAAGACCCCCCTGCCCCCTCAGGTCGTCCGTTTTTTGGCTGGCAGATGTTTTCAAAACTCACCTTGGCTTTTGATTATGCGGGTTGATTCTCTAGATCCGGGCTGGTTTTTTTTGGAGTGGGTACGCTTTTCGGGTTGCTTTGAAGGGACTCCCGCCCGGAAACTCAATCTTGCACCATCAAATACTTGACCTTGGCAAGTGGGGGAGTTTCACGGGAAGCCCACCAGCAACTTGCCTCTTCCCAGAGAGAAGTGGTTCCAAGAGAGTCGCCTGTGAAGCCTTTCCGGGTTGAGGAGCCTCCTTGAACCAAGCGGCCTTCTTCCTCGACGTCCGGCTCCACAGACGACACAAACTGAGTTCGAGAGGCAACGGCTCACTTACTCAGTGGATCCCAGGCCAGTAGGTGGCTGACCATCTTCGTGCCCTAAGTGGTGCCCTTTAAGTATAAACCTCGACCCTCAGCCTGCCCTTAAAAAAGGGAACAAACCCCAGAATGTTGGGGCAACCCGTTTTTTTTTTTAAGGGTTTGAGGGTTCCGGAAGCTCAATGGATCTACTGAAGAAAACGAGCTGCCACTGTAGCGTCTGCTTGGTTGGATGTACATGGTAGCTACCATATGTGTCCTTTTCGGGCAAATAGATGGCCCTAGATGATTAAACTACCAGGTAAACCAGGAATCGCCATCGATTTTTCCACCAAAACCACCAAAAATCGGACACCTATGGTAGCCACTGAAAGCATGGAAGAGACGTTCCACTGGGCGATAAGCCCCCAGGACTTCGGAGTAAGAAGGAGGTCATCGAAACAGGGTGGCTTTGGGGTGCCCGAGAATTGCCGTGCAACTGCTGGCTACTTGGGTGTTCGGCCAAGTTAGCAAGTTGTGGGTGACCTAGTTATAACCCACTTGTAAGTCCTCCTAAGTGGGGGTTAGCCTTGTCACAAGAGGGTTG